AAGTCAAGAAGGCTTGCAGGCTGACCGGCCATGGGAAAAGAGTGGGATGGGGAAGAGTCAGTAATGGCTTCCACATCTCTTCCCTATTATCCAAATGGGCTAATGATGATCATTTACCGAGATGGAGAATATTGAAGCATGTTTAGGGGAAAGGTGATGAGTTTAATCCTCACTTGGATAAAGGATATAAAATTAATAGCCTTTAATGTGGGTTATAAAGAACTAAGAATGAACAACTGACCATTAAGCAGATCAATTCATAAATTAATTTTCTAGTCACTAGCAATAAACAGTTTCAATAACCTATAAGACCAAGTAATCACTCTTGGAAAGACATCAGAGTTCAAAAGTCAGTCTCTTTTCCAAGACTGGAATATATACACCAGGAGCAAGAAAACAAGTGATCTCTGACATTAATTGAAGAAGTTGTTAATGTCCAACGGAAAATAAATAAAGCACAAGAAAATCTATTTGACTGAAATTACACAAAATTGCACAAGATTTTACAACAGTAACTATAGTTAATGCTAAACAACAGCCTATAGCTAAGTAATATTAGAACAGGTGCTTTGTAACCATTATGATTCTTGCACAGACCAAATAATACTGTCACCACAACTATCAGTAGTGAATCGAACCTGACAAAGATGGGCTGTGTGCTATTCATCCTGCCCAAAGGAAACTAAGATGACTTATGTCTAAGGATACTTGTAGCAACTGGATTTTCCCAGAACGTTTTGCAGAAGAGCTCACCTACCGTACTTGTTTGGCAGCTTCAAGTACGCAGGGCACGATTCTGAACACTCGCTGCTCTTCAGACTCTTCCTGGGCTTGGTCCAGAGGCTGAGCAGCCCCATTTCTAATCCACTCCAACATTAGCTTCTCATCCAAATCAAACAGCTTGTCCACAACCTCCCCGACCTTCATTAGCAAGTCAACTGCAGGGAATAAAACAGATGCTGAAATGAGAAACACAATTTTAAAAGCAGTAATGTGAATCAGAATTCCTAAATGTATTCCAAAAAAGCCAATTCTTGCCAAAGCATTACTTATTCCAGAAGCAATAAATATGTTTACCTCCTTTGTTTAACTTTGCTTGTCTTCCTTCATTTTTAAATGGGGGATCTATCGGCATCTTGGGAGTTTAAGAAGAAATTTTATATCTTAAACTGAAATACTTTCTCACCTTACATTTAGTCTTTAAATGACCTCCAGAAATAGTTACCTGGTTTCCTAACAATTAAATGTTATCAAAAATTTTTTTCTAGATTACATGGTGACTTACCATTTGTTGAACTTGACATGATGAAGCAAATGCTATCATAAATAGCTGGATGTTCCCGGATTCTTTCAACCCAGACACTGGCCACTTCTGTCTGGGAAAGGCAAGTAAGCAACAACCTACATGATAAATGTGAGCTTAATATCTATCTTTCAAAATCAGTAAAGGAAATTCAGGAATGAAGAATTAACTCTATTTTTCTAGACTCCCTTATGGGTGAGTATACGGAGTCCATAAAAAGAGGAAAGCATACCTGCTTGTTTCCAGCAGAGTAGGAGGGTCTGAATCATACAAACAGCGCAGTATTACCTGGCTACAAAAACAAAATAGTCAAACCGATATGCCTCACTTCTCTCATTTCAAATATCAAAGTAGAGTTTCCACTTAATTTTTAAAATGTTTTAATTGTGAAATATAGCACATCTATAAAAGCCTGTAAGATACAAATCTACTTAGTAGCTATAAAGCAAACACTAATGTTTCCAAGAAACAGAACTGTGCTCTATCTCTGTAGCTCGTGTTTCCCTCCCAAATCACAATTCTTTCCAACCTAGAAATGACTACCATCCTGACTTTTCCAGCAATCATTTCTTTGCTTTACTCTGAAGTTTTATTATTTAATATATATTTGGTTTCGAACTTTATATGAAAGAAATTATATTGTATGTATTCGAGTTTTAGCTCTTTTGCGCAATACCATGTCTTTAAGATCTACCCATGTTGTTCCTGTAGCTATTGTTCTTTGATTCACTGCTGCAGAACATTCCACTGTGTGATTATAACACAATTTATTTTTCCAGCCTATTATTGATGGAAATTTGAGTTGATTCCAATTTTAAGCTATTTCAAGCAATCCGCTCTGCTCCTATAACACTTTTTGTATGAGTATCCTGACGTATGTGTACACGGTTTCTCTAATCATATGCCTACAAGTGGCATCGCTGGGTGACAGCATATGCATATCTTCCAACTTGACTAGCTAATGCCCAACTGTTCCAAAGTGCTTGAACAAATTTATATCCCATCACCAATGTAAATTGTTCCGTGGTTTTAAGATAAGCATTTAAGTGAATTTATAAAACTTGTTAACATTACTCATTCTCAGGTTTTGATAGAGACCACTAGAGACCAAACATAATCCTGAGTTATTTACTCCATGAATTATTGTAAATTACTGAGGAATAAATACCTTTAACTAGGAAGTTAAAGTCCCTCCACACCTAGCAGAGGCAATCACCTCTATTTTAAAGAGCCAGGTGCTTGAATCCTGTGATAAACCCTACAGCCCTAGCTGACAATTACCACCCAGAACAGTTTTCTTAAATTATTGTGGGCACAAATTACTTCAAGATTCTGATTAACAGCCACGGACTCTCTGCCTAGAATATGAATACACTCACAAAATTCAGCATATAATTCCAGGGTGTTCTCAAACCTCTTAAAGTAAGTACCAGGGTTTCCACCATTAAAAAACCCTCTGCCCAAAACTTTCCATCAAGAAGTATGAAAGTCTTTGAATCAGAGGCAACTTTCTAGTATCTTCTAGTCTGCTGGCAAGTCCCACCCCAATCTAAGTCAGAGTTATCAGGGTGACTCTGGTCAACAGTCTAGTTTTTCCAGACTCGGCCCTTGGGTTGCCTGGGCCTCGACTGTTTTGGACTCTGGTGGGGTGCCCCACCAGTTCTCATCCTATCTGGCTTACCACCTGCTGACAATTCAGGTGCCTTTACGACCGATAAAGAAAACAGGCCTAAATCCTGAATCATGTCCACAAACAGTGTGGAAGGCCCTAGCTACCATCAACATACAATGAAGCTCCTGGAGAGTGCTCCTCAGGAGAAAGGAAGTGCTACATTTCATAATATTGTCCTATCTCTACTATGTATTAGGATCTCCTTAGGAATATAAAATATGAACCTATATTTTTAAAGATGTAATTATTATGTAGTAAAACTTACCCAAGATTTTTATCACTGCTGATGGACACACATATCTCCTGGAAACAGGACATATTACCTAAAATTCCCACACAGATTTCCTGCCAAATCAAATTACACAGGTCACAATGGCTCTGAGGTAAAAGATACATACAAGAATAAACACTTAGAAAAAAAACTTTATTGAGCCTTAGAACAGAACAGGAAGCAGCATATAGAAGTATACTGCCTGCACCCTAACCTTGACAAGTTCACAGTATTTGGGAAGGGGTGAAAGACATGAGAAAAACAAAGATCAAAGGCAGGCAGGAGTTATGGAAGAAGAAATCTTACGGATGAACTGAGTCTTAAATGATTGGTAAGATTTAGATATGCAAATAAGAAAGACATTCAAACAAGGGGGGAAAGTATCAGGAAAGGCAAAAAGGAAATAATGTATATGGTTAATACAGTGGACAATAAAGAAAGCACCCTGGGGCCGGCCGAGTGGCGCGATGGTTAAGAACTGGCTTGGGACGCCAGAGGGCCCCNAAAAACAGGAAACAACTAAATGAATAACTATAGTGCTTCCCCACGTAACATCTCACCAATTGCTTGAATTCCATCGTTCACCGTGGTAAGCAGCTGTAAGATGTGCATGTAAACATCGAGCCCTTCCAGATTTTCAGAACTAAATACAAAAAGCAAAAACACTGAATTAACAACTTTACTGTGTATGGGGCTACAATCGTTCATTTATTCAACAAATATTCATCACTCTGTACTAGCTACTACCCCAGATGTTGAGGGTGAAACAGGGAATGGGACAAAGTCTGTGCTCACCCGAGCTTACGTTCTAATGGGGAGATCAAATAAATGTTCTGTGATATAATCAACGCACACAGGACAAGAAATAAAAATCCTTTTTCACTTTGTCCCACGAAAGCAACAACGCAAAAACCTGCTAGGTGATACTTCATCACTCTGGTTGAATAATCAGGACAAAAAATGACTGAGACTTTTATAGAGCAAATGTAAGGTCCACTGTACCAAGCACTGACAACAAGGAGCTCTTAAAACTTCACAGGATTATCCTAGTTCCCTAAAACCATGTAAGCATAATTTTTGTGATCAACAGGTTAGATTCTTAGAAACTCACAATCTTAGCTCTTCAACCAAACAATTAAGTGAAAAGACAGGGAACGATTAAAAGATTGCGCAGCAAATATTTATTTAAGTACTTACTATTTTCAGGCACTATGGTAGGGGCTGGGAAAACAGATGTATAAGTTTAGTGTCTAACAGGAAAGCAGCTAATTAACGGGGTAATAACAAAGTAGTCTGAATGTGACCCTAGAGGAAGTCCAAGGTGCTAGAGGACCACACTGTAAACAGACTTGCTTTAGTTTAGAGAGTCAGGAAAGGTATCTTAAGAGAAATTATGTTTATGCAGAAACCTGAGGGGCAAAGAAATGTTTGACGTAGAGGAGACAGTGTGTGCCAAGGTTTGGGTTAAGAGAGCTTGGCTCAGTTGAAGAAATGAAGGAAATTTCATGTGGTTGAAACAGAATACAAGGAATAAGGATNTTTTAAAAATTAGCAACCAGACAAATCTTATCCTGTATTTCGCAACTCAATGTCACCTCTTCAGAGCACCTCCGTGCTGGGCTGCTTTACTATATTCCCCTTGGATTTACTGCCACTTTCTTACTTGTGTTATCACCAACTCTTGACTCTAATACCCAATGATTTCCCTGTAGGTCACTCCAATCTATACTTACCAGCCTCTTTTATCTCTCACCCCCAGCCATAACTCTGCGAAGCCCCTATTCAAGGCTTAGGGCAGGCTGAGGGAGGGGTGTTAATCAGTGGCTTAGAGTTAAAGGAGCATCTTTACACTCTCTCGCCCATCACAAAAATCATACATAAAATCTGGGGGAGTGGGGTGGGGACAGATAAAGAACACCTAGTCCCATAACATCAAGGAAGATGTGTTCCCAGTATTCCAAATAAAAACTCTCTATATGATTTTCAACCAAAAGAGCACACATACAAGGAGGTTGGGAAGGGCACTGGGACTCAAAACCAGCATTTCCACCCTTTCCTTTAAGAAATCACCACAAAGAAACAAAAAGGTGGAGCAACAAAAACTGAACTCCAGATTGGATAAAACTAGGTGACAGCTGAAAACTCTAACACAAAGTAGGTAGAAATAGTGGCAAATGCAATATAAACAAGCAGGGAGTATGGAAAGAAGTGATGAGAGGATGCCCAAGTCTGCAGATCTCAGAAAGGGCCAAAAACGTCCATTTTGCTAAGGTGAAGCACATACTCTAAGGTACAAATCCAGAATTCCTTGTTTGCAACAGCAGGAACGAAGTGTATGAAGATGGCAGCTGGTGCTTTCCTGGGGTTCTAAGAAGCAGATGAAGAGGGGGCAAATGAGCAATCCCATAGACAAGCCATGTTTGCAGGAGGCAAATGCCAAGGGGAAAGGTAAGACTGCACTGTATGTAGCTACCTATCACCTGGGAAAAAGGGCGAGAGAAGACTCATAGACCCAACTCCTGTCGCCCTAGAACACAGCCTTAGCCTCTCTCCTATATGAACTTCCTGCAAACAGCTAGTCCAGGAAAAACTCAACTCATTCAAAGATGAGTAAGCAAATAAACCAGCATAGGAACAGCACAAAGACACGAACAGAAAAAGAAGGAAAAACAAATGGCAGGTGAAGAATACTCACCCAAATATGGTGACGTGAAGCTTATGAATAT